CGTAGAAATGATGTCTTCTGGTTTCCAGAAGACGTCTTCTGAGTGGAACGTCTTCTGGAAACCAGAAGACACTCTTCGGGGAAGACGTGCCGAAGATGCGCGGAATGTCTCCCGGATTTCGGAAGACATCTTCCCGGAAGACATGCAAAGGGCAGTCTTCCCGGAAGATACCCGGAAGATGTTCCGAATGTCTTCTGGGCCACAATACATTCTGACATGTGTTATCGACACATATGTGATGATTATGCAATTTGGCCACATAGCTACTTCATACCACACGTGCGTACACTAGTCGCGTAATCACAGAAGACATTCAGAAGGCGCACGGAAGACATGCGGAAGACATTCCGGGTATCTTCCTAACAACTTCAGGGTTGTCACCATGCTCTGTTGCTATGATACATAATATACGGCTAAGTTAATTGATAGGTCTATCTACACATACATGTACGATTGCATCTATTCAACATACAGACCACTACTAAGTACGATGCCCGGCGTATTATCATGATCGCCTCTTGCGTCTTGCGATGCACCTTTCGGTCGTGAACCATCATCGTCGATGCACTCGAAAAAGTCAGCCTTTAAATCAAATACCACCGCCGTTTTCATCACAGGATGTTTCTTGATTACAACTTGGTGCTCAATTTGAGCCGCCAGGATGAATGGATCAGTAGTGTCCCAAGGTGTCTCGGGATCATCCGGGTCGTATGTGTACACCACCTTTGCGGTATTGTCCGCCCCGTACTTCGAATTTAGCTTGGCAAACCATTTTGTCGTCGCTTGGTTGAATTCAGGGAACCACTTTCCCTTCACAATAATGTACTCTTTCGCGGCCAAGTCGACCTTGTAGATGCTATCTACCATGGCGTACCTGCGAGTTGGAGCCACAATTATACTCTATAGTAAGAATCCCCGAAGACGTGGGGAAGACACACAGAAGATATTCGGTACATATTCTGCGCACATTCACCAAAACGTAATGCACGGACGCACCGGTCAGTCTCGATTTCCTCGCCTTTGATGTTTTCTCCAGAGAAAAAGGCTCGGAAGTAACGTTGACAAGTTTTCTTCGTCTTGTCCTGAGCTGCCGTGCGATAGCAAACTCCTCGAACCACGACCGAGCCGAAAGATTGACACACGTGAGGAGGCCCTTCGACGAGTGCCGCTTCATTCTCCGTGAATGGTCTCCCCAGCCAGACCTTGGGATCGCTACCGTGCATATGCAGCGGCACATTCATCAGGCGAGACGCTCCGGCTCGTGCGCCAAAACGTCTCCGAACCATATGGTTTTCCCTGCGAATGTATACGTGCACAGTGTCAGGACATGTATTTACCGAAGACGTGTGGAAGATGCCTAGAAGATATATAAAACGTCTTCCAGGCACCTTATGGGTTTCATTTCTTACTTACCTCTTGCAATAGGTGACGTAGGCGTCGAATTTTGCCTTCAACTTGCGGTACTGGGGCACGTTGCCATGCATCCACAGCTCCAGCGCTTTCGTTTCAGCGCGGGAGAGTACATGGCGCTTGCCTTGTGTTCCCAAAACCACGGTGTTCGGCGCCCTCAACGGTGCGGTGGCCAAGAACGGGAGCACGGGTGGCCGGGTGGGATTGGTGGTTGCCTCCCGCCGGCGACGAAGTACCAAGATTAACCCTCGCACCACATGTACCATCCGGTACAGCCCGAAGCCTTGCATAACACTCTGAACCGGATATGCATCGTTCTTCACCCACCTTCGAATCTTCCCGTTGAATGATTCGAACACGTACATCCATGTCCCCCGTATTGGACCATACATGAGGAGTTGGTCGGGGAAGTGGGAAAGCAAATGCGTGTTGATGACCAGCCAGTCAGGTGAGCCATCGCGCTCGAGTGACTTGAAGAACTCATCCACCAGATTTTGAAGCTTAGGAACATCCTGCAAAATCACCAAATAAAAGGTAATTAAGGAAGACGTTTGGAATGTACTCGGAACGTATTCGGGATGTCTTCCAGATGTCTTCCGTACCTTACAGTCTACAAGCTCCGAAGTGAGCTCTCTCGTTATGACCGTCAACTGCCCGATCAAGTCTTCAAGCATGTTTTTCGAGTAGCCCTCGTCTCTATCCCAAGACGCTAGCACGCTCATGATGCCCGCTTGTAGCATTTTCAACGCCTCGTGACACTTGAGCGTCTTCGGTCCGGTGTTCGTGCCGTTCGGACGCAACAACTTCTTATGGCCTTGCCCCCATTTGACCATTTGTGATGACCATTTGTAATTAATTAGCAATAATCAAGATTGTTGCATTTGTTGAAATTGAAGGGAAAATGCGAAAGTGCAATTTTACATATGTCATTATTGCTCTACGTTAGATTTCCAAATTTTCAATCTCAGCTAATTTTGATCTACGTTAGTTTTCTGATTTCAGTTTTTGGAATGCTTGATTTCAGATTTTTTTACATTTGTCATTTTGCTCTACGTTAGATTTCCGATTTTCAATTTTGGCTAATTTGGCTCTATGTTGGATGTCAGTTTTCAGTTTTTGGAATGCTCCATTTCAGACTTTTGCATTTGTCATTTTGCTCTATGTTAGATTTTCCAAATTTCAATTTTGGCTGATTTTGCTCTACGTTAGATTTCAGGTTTCAGTTTTTTGAATGCTTGATTTCAGATTTTAAAAACCAATTTCAGATTTTTATATGTGTCATTTTGCTCCACATTAGATTTCCGATTTTCACTTTGGCTGATTTTGCTCTACGGTGGATTTCAGATTTCAGTTTTGGAATGCTTGATTTCAGATTCTGCTCTTGTCATTTTGCTCTACGTTAGATTTCCAAATTTCATCGGTCGATATGCAGCCGATATATCAGCCGATATGCACCCTATATATCAGCCGATATGTTCCAAGGCAGTGACCAAGGAATCCCAAAGAAGTTGTCGATGTGGTTCACTTCCGGAAAATGAGGACGCCTTAGTACCTAAGGTCGGTGTCCTTCGCAACACGCTTCACAACGTCAATGTCCCAAGACGATTGCAAAACGGCATTGCTGCGTGTCCTGTCAGCAGCAGCGAGCGCGACATTCGCTGACTGCGGGGTGCTCTTGTAGCGAGCACCCACGTTCCTAGCAAAAATTGAATCTAGGCGCATCCTAGCGCCCATGGCCGGTGTTCCAACTGAGGATGAAGTCATCAGAATAAATTCCTATAGGAGGGGGGTTGGGGAAAAGGCGAGTGTCAAATTGTAAGGTGGCGGGCGACCGTAATGCAGTTGCGGAGTGAGGAGAAGAAGGGGTCGAACGAAATCAACGGAGTCGAATACGCGGCGGCCAAGGAGTTGTTGACAGGGGTGATCAAGTCCAGTCTAAAACAAAATCCAACGCGGACACCCGTAGAAGTTGCCGAAAATCCCAACTCGCAATCTCACCGCAACATAGCGCAAACCGCGCGCCCTAAAGTGGCCAACTCAACATCTCGCGAGGCCCCAACGCCCCGCCAAGCGGAAAAGCTTAGCCAGTCATGGCAAAGTCAGCAGTGATAAAAGCGGGGTAATACCCCATAACCTGTGAGATATAATATAACGTATTATATCGGGTGCGGTCACTGAATATCTTTCATACAAGTGTAAACTGATTATAAAGATAAACGAATATAAGGTGTCTGTGACCTAGGGATCTGTCACCTAGTACTGTACGAGTACTGGTACAGCTAACGGGAGTCAGAATAGTTATGACCTACGGGTCACTGAATCCAGCAACCACTACATCCAGCTTCTTACCGTTGGAACCGAAACACGGATATCTCAGCCGGGGTTTACCGTTACTTCCCCCCCTACCAGTGACCCTTTCGAGATTGCCGCAGATCTGAGCACCATTTTCCTTCAGAACGCAAGTGTACCCACCGCTCAGGTCAATATAACTGTCGGGGAGGTCCCCGTGTGTTCGTCAAGCGAACCACACGGGCGTTCGCGTGTCTGTCAACGCCTCCCCACAACCTCAAAAGACACGTGCACCGCAAGCTCCTTCTGAAGCCTTGGCCAACCACGCTCCTCCAACCGCTCCAGCGCTACCTCATCCCACGCCGAATGTCGTCGACGTTCCCCCAACTCAGAACTCGTAGGATCTATAAATAGTGATGGGATTTTCATTGTTTGAGATGGGTCGAGCGTAATCCATATTTCGGCGAAAATGCATCCGCGACGGGACTCGAACCCATGACCTCCCGATCCGATCACGGTCGCTCTACCAACTGAGCTACGCGAAGTCTTTGATGACATCGGCCCGCGTTCAGTGGTACTCATTCAGTTTCTGATATAATTACAGATCGCGATTCGGCAGCTTCGATGACGTACCAACATCTGATGACTACTCGCGATCTCTAACGTCTAACATATCTCCCACCTTTGAAAGTCAGATCGTCACCTGACGATTCGTGTTGCTGAAATCTGTATAGGCAGCCCTGACCGGGAGTCCCGGTGCAGGCCCCTATGACAGATTCCTAGGTAGCCACGCACTGGACCGTGACTGATCCGTAAGCCTGTGTTGTGACACACCGAGTGTCACAGGTAGCTAGACTCGAGACCGTTCCGACTCCGTGACCGTTCCGGGTATATCTAGCTTAGGGTTTATTTCTTATGAGAGTTTTTTATCTATATTGGTTCCAGGACTGTCTGATATCCGTGAACCGGGATATTCCAATAGGTTATGGGCCCACCACGCTTCCACTGCGCCGCGGGATGGGCCCGCCACTTCAACCGGGATATTCCAGTAGAGTTCCAGTTCTTGGTCACAGCTCGGTCGATGTGATGACGTGGCAGCTTACTATGAGCTGAATAGCAGTTCGTGGGATGCAGCCCGAGTCATCCACGTCATCAGCGCGGGTCACATCGTGCCAACACGCCGTTACATCAGACACCGAATCTGTGAGCCTTTACGAGAATACCAATCTTAGGATCTATAAATAGTGATGGGATTTTCATTGTTTGAGATGGGTCGAGCGTAATCCATCGCGGCGAAAATGCATCCGCGACGGGAGTCGAACCCATGACCTCCCGATCCGATCACGGTCGCTCTACCAACTGAGCTACGCGAAGTCTTTGATGACATCGGCCCGCGTTCAGTGGTACTCATTCAGTTTCTGATATAATTACAGATCGCGATTCGGCAGCTTCGATGACGTACCAACATCTGATGACCGCTCGCGATCTCTAACGTCTAACATATAGGGATCCAGACACAGAAGCAGTCGCCCCAGACATTCCATATCGTACCCAGGAGTTTTCTCCACCGATGATAGTGAATCCGGATGATAACAATACATCAGCACCTGCCGTCACAACATCAGCACCTACCATTCCTTCCATACATATACCAAAGGTAAAAATGAATACACCCAAGGAATATAAGGTTGGACAAGATGCAGAGGTCTGGTTAGAGACAATGGATTGCTGAAATATCGGTATCGACAGTCGAGATCGACCTCGATATCGATATCCCGGTCTGTCACCTTTGGTGGGTCACACGTGACAGTTCCTAGAGAATAACCTTATATTCCATCTAATGTTATTCTCGTGGCTTTTCGGTTCATCCCTTGCTCGCACGTCTCACTGCCTGAGACTGCTATTCTAGCAGGTTATGAGCCCACTCACCTTCGAGTGTTTATTTTTCTGATTGTATGGACGGTCATATTTAGCTTATTTCCGTTCGTTTCAGTCCGGGTGTGATTCACCCGCCCACGATTTATTCAGGATAGCACCTCTGGTGGGGGAGGCGTGCGACTAGCTTAGATGCCGGAAGTTGTTTCTTTGCCTGGCACCCTGGGAGAGGCGGTGGCTCTCCTGGCATCGGCGGACAGTAAGTTGGAGAAGGGGGCATCTCTGGGGCATCGGAAGTCGCTGACAGTTTGCTCCATGTTGCGCGGCGTGATTTCTTTTTATCAGAGCGTTGCAGCCGTTGTTTCCGCTTCTCCAGTCCCTTGCGTGGGCATTTCGATTGGGCCAGATTGTTTGGAGACCCCGCCAGTCATTTTGCAGATTTCTATTGCGTCTGAGGGCGCTGGGGTTGGTGGTGCGATTTTATCGACGCACTACCAACCCACCTCTGTGCTCTCAGCTGATTGTGAGACCCAAGTTTCGCTCGTCGATCTTGGGTCCGATGTTTTTACGCAAACAGCATTCATTCCGCAGAATTTGCCACGGACCCCCTTGGCTCGCGTTGAGCCGAGGGAGCACGCTCGCACTATTGTGCGGCGTGAAGTTATTCATCGCTATCTCGACTCTCGGCCGGCAGGGTCCTTTGCTGCTGGCGCTACTGTTTTTCAGAGCCCCGATGATTTTTCGACCGATCATGTGGGTGCTCTTTGCGGTTCGGTAGATGATCAAGATGACTCCCAGAACCCTCCAGGGTACTGGGACGAGTCTGATTTTGAGGACGAGAATGATGGGTCTCAGAACCCTCCAGGGTACTAGGACGAGTCAGATTTTAGTGAAGAAGAGTATTTTTCGGAATCCGCTGTTTCTCTACCCCACTTGGGAGTTTCTCACTCCGGTGCTCCCCTCGAGCCTGGAGTTGAATCGTTCGAGGAGCCAGCAGATGACTCTCCACTTGGAGAGAGCAATATTTCTGATAATTACGAGCAGTCGGAGGCCTGGGACGACGAGGCCAACGACGATTACGAAACCGCTGAGGGCGGTTACACCGCTGCGGAGTGGGAGGCTTGGGAGGCCTCCCACAACGCGCATGGGCATGATCACGTAGACCACCAGCTCTACCAGGGTGGTCCGGGATTTTCCGACGATTCTGCTGTCGGCGGACAGTCTGACTTCGTGGATTACGACGACGATTATGGTGACCATGGGGACTACGACGGTGGTGGTGCCTACGATGGCTACGATGATGGTGGCTATTACTATTGATTGGTTTCTCTTTTGTTTCTTTGCGACGTATCCGGGCGCGGCGGCTTTCTATCTCTTTTAATTGTTGATTTACTCACGACACTTGTCGGCTGTACTTTGTTTCTTTGTTTCAGTTGATTTACTCGCGACACTAGCTGGCGGCGGCTCTATTTTTTCTGGTTGGATCCGGCACAGTATTATTCTATGTGATTCGATGTGCACCGTTGTAAGACCCCAGAGGAGGGCAGTTTTGGTAACAGCATTTATTTCGGGAATCCTACTAGTACCAATCGCCAGCAGAGATCTTAGCCGTTGACCAGACACGAGCGTGCTCTGAATTGCTTGATGACATCGGAGATTTGAGTGCAAGACCGAACACGAGCGTGCTCTGAATTTATGGGAATCAGCAGATTTTTTACCGTTTAGACGTCCACTCGACGGGCAGATTTTGAAAATTGAAACTTAGCCACTCAGCATTTGTTTACCTAGTTGTCACTAGCATGCACTATATGCTTGCTTGTGATCTTGTGGGTTAGCACTCCGGACTGTGACATGCTGCTGACTAGATAACTATTCAGGCTTGGAGCCTTAACACTTAACTAGTCAGGGTGGTGTGTTTGTCATTGTCACTAGCTTGTGTGTCCCTCCTCAGGTGAGGTGGTGTGCTGGAATATCGGTATCGACAGTCGAGATCGACCTCGATATCGATATCCCGGTCTGTCACCTTTGGTGGGTCACACGTGACAGTTCCTAGAGAATAACCTTATATTCCATCTAATGTTATTCTCGTGGCTTTTCGGTTCATCCCTTGCTCGCACGTCTCACTGCCTGAGACTGCTATTCTAGCATGTGTCGCAAACGCGTGCATATGATGGTACAATCTCGGAATCGAACGAATCTTAACACTCGCGACTGATCATAAACATCATTAATATCCACTGGTGCCGGTAACTGATCGAGCATCTCAACACAGTATAAGATTGCAGAGCTACAAAATTTTAAAAGTCACACAACAGCATCTCTGCCTCCCCATCGGTCTTCCTGCAAACTTCACATGCTAGGTGCTTACTGGGAACGGCTGCACTGCAGTCATACTGATCCTTCACCTGTAGGTGACATGGCGCGATGCTCTGCACGGTGCTCTTCTCTCTTAACCTGGTGGCGTCCTCAAGCACCACCACACCATCTCGCTGTATCTTGACCAGCTTCAGGATGGCGGATTTGGTCGCGACTTCCATGCCGCTGCGGGGCTTCTGCCTGATGTAGACGAAATCACCCACCTTGAACTGGTGTGGACTAGGCTCGTAGCCCCCACCCCTTCTCCCTTCGTAATGTAATGTATCACGATGCTGTGCGACCTCCAGGCTGCAACCAGCGTGTACCATCAATCGCCTCACCACCTGTGCTCTCTGGTGGAGGTCCTTGACTCTGGCATCCTTCTCATCTTCGACCTCAACAGCAAAATCTATGCTGGGTGCCCGTTTCAAATCAGGCGGCACTACTGCCTCTTGGGCGAACAACATGGTGAACGGCGCCACCCCCGTGGACTCCTGGCGTGCTGCATTATAGCTCAGCACCAGTGGCCAGAGCTGCTCATCCCACTCGTAATCGAGACCCTTCTCCAAGGCAAGCTTCTTAAAGCAGAACTTCATCGTGCGTACCACTCGCTCGGTCAGCCCATTGCCTTCTGGTGAGTCTGGCGAGGTGACTCGCCGGTCAATCAGGCAATCTCTGCACAACTGCTTGAACTCGCCTTCAAACTCCTTGCCTCCATCCACCAAGCATTCTGCTGGTGCACCAAACACAGCCAGGACATGACTGCGAAATGCCGCTGCGATGGTGCTCGCCTCCTTGTCGGGAATGGGCACGCAGACTATGAACCTGGTGTAGTGCTCGGTCATGATGAGCACTCGGTTGTTGCCAGACTTGGTCTCTCTCCTCGAAGGCCATGCCAAATCCAGCGACCAGCGATACATGAACGACACGATCTCAAGGGGGGACAAACATGCCTCCTCTCTCGCATAATGAGTCTTCACACGCTGACAGGTCTCACACTGAGTGACCACAGCCTCCACGTCTTTCTTCAAATCGGCCCACCAATGGCGCTGCCACAAAAGATGCTGCGTCCGCCTTATGCCCCAATGTCCCGTTCTGGAGTGGTATTCCTTGACCAACGCGAGACGGTCAGCAGGCTTAGGTATTCTCACCTCCTTGCCCGACATAGTGACCATGTAGATCTCGTCCGTGGCCTCGTCCCAACGATGTCGTGCTGCTCGCCTCCTTACTCGACGAACTTCCTCTTCGGGCAACCTCACTCTACCATTGGACTTCAACCATCTGAGGCACAATGCATCATCGTGTACATCTCGATGCTTGTCACGATCTACCTGCTGCTCGGCCACGCTGGCCATCAGGTCCTCGAATCTGGTGGTACACGTCAACCTGGGGAGCCTCATCTCTGACTCTCTGGCAGGCGGACTCCAGGCAGGCACATCCACGTGCGCTGCTGGGGTTGCGCCCTCCTTCACGAAGTGGTTCTCATGCCTCTGACGATACTGCGCCATGGTGTAGAGCTGCCACTCGTTCTTCTTCTTCTTCTTGGTTCCAGCCTTCTGTCGCTGGGCTCCAATTCCTTCTGCGCCTTTCTGCCCTTGCGAGCACATTATCCGCAGCTTCTCCTCCCAGTCGCGATGGGTCATGGTCTTCGCCACCTGCCGGGTATATGCGTTCGAATTCTCAACCCATTCCGCCAGCAAAGCTTGCCTCTGCTGAAGGTCCGACCTCTCGTGGTCTGCCCAGTTGTTGTCTACAGCGATGGGCTGTCCTGGGGAATTCTCCGCCTCTGGGGATTCCTTGCTGTGAGGAAGCCCCTTCCTGCTTGCTTCTGCGACTGCCATCAGCAGTTCCATTGCTCTGCGATCCATGGCCAGGCCCAGAATGCTCGCCAATTCTACGTCGCTTAGGCCGTCGGCCATGCGTAGCTCACTTGCGCTGTAGCCCATGGCTCGCGTCTTCTCTTCGAGGTTAACTTCTCGAGATTCTTCCTCGGCGTCTTCGCCGTCCTGGTTGCGCACCACGGTGCCCATCCTCGCTCTTCTGAACGCTCTTGACCCTTGCGTCGCCATGATGGTGGGTAATGCCCTCAATGGTTCTCCCACCACGTTCACCACGTAGTGAGGCGCGCGGTCTGTCCTTATCAC